TATCTGTGCAAGGGCTGATGTTTCTTCTGTCTCTGACCTATCCCTGACATCTCTAAGAGCTACCTTCAGGAGATACATCATTTCCCTCCATTTATAGCCCATCTTCCACTGAATAGTAATTGATTGCTGGCCTTTGCCAACGACAAATTATGACTTTAGCTGCATTGTCCAGTTGTGTTGTAGGAAAGAAAGTCAATGTTTTGTGTACTCCTCACTCTTTTCTTCATGCCGTACCTGTCCGTTCATTCCAGAAAGGCCCAGAACTCTCAGTTTATGTCTGTTCAACAATCTGAGACTGTGAGTAGCCTGAGGAAGTTGGTCACTTGCCATCCAACCCAAAGTCCCACACATGAACACATGGGCCACTTGTCCATACATGCGTAGACTAAGTGATGGATTGCAGGATGTAGCAAAATCTGCCAGGGACTTGGAAGGATTTCAGTTTCTTTGGATAGTCTGTGACCTATTTATGCGTGCTGTATTGATAAATGAAGTGAAAAATCTTTTACACCTTTCAATGAAGGTTGCCGTTTGGTCTGGCAACAGCGCTGACAATTTTAGTGATGTCCTATAGGAAACAGCTGGGATTATTAATTCATTTTTACACAGGTCACTAAGCATCCAGAAGTCAATATTTCTTTTAAATTGCTCTCTATCTGGACCAAATCCATTCTGAAGGTGAAAGGTTCCAGATATATACTGCTCCCAGCCATTATTAGAGTCCTTTTTAAGTCTTGCCAATTGTTTTTCCTAGATTCAGCCTGAGAATGACTGTATTAGGCAGAACAGAAAAACTGTACGTGCTCTTTAACTTTTGTTTTCAGCTCATGGTATGATTTCATTTTTCAGTTCTTGGAAATATACTTTATTTTATTACAGATGTCACCAATCAGGGTGAAAAAAAGATGAGATATACTTAAGATTCTGAGTCTGAAACAATTGCTCAGTGACTCAAGACTCAGATGTAATGAGGAAGGAAGAATTGCAAGAAAGAAAGATTTACACAGACACAGTTAAGGATAAAGCTGAGCAGAACTGTACGATTTCAATTCACAGGAATTTCTTCAAACCTGTAATTTGACTTTGACTTTGTAAGAAGACATACCCGCTGACTCTGACATTTGATGAAAGTCAGAGCAAAAGTACTAAACTTCAAGGTGCATGATGTCAAAAACTGTGGGTCTGAAATGTGACCTTAACATCCTCAGTCTTTGGAGGAGAAAAGAGGCAAAATGAAACTTTGCTGTTGATCTCTCGAGTGATAATGCTATACGCCTGGGCCTTCAGATGTTGTCATTTACACCGCTACCTGGCTGGTTTCACACATTACTGATTCTCTTTTATAATCCTTTTTCAGAGTTATGAATGACTAAACAAGTCCCAGAGAATCAAGACCTATATCGTACTTGGATATTAAACAGCTGGAGAGAGTATGGGGAAGAGCTGCTGTAACTATGCAAGGGCTGGGAAGAGTGCTTCACAGCAAGATGTTAAAAATGCAGTACTAGCTCTTTAAACAGAAGATCAAAGATGATTTGATTACAGTGTGTAAACTCCTTCTTGGAGAGACACTGAAATAAGAGAAACAAGCAGTACAAGGCCGGTGGCAGGAAGATGAAACCACACATATTCATATTTAGATATATAAACAATCCTCTTATCATGGAAATTAAAATAGCAAGGAAAAGAATGGACCAAAGTGTCATTGTGCAATGTAGATTTCAGCCAAGCAGAAGAAATTGGTCACACTGTGAGGGTGGCAGGATGAATTAGTACCACTGATAGCACGCAAGAGGTCACACTAGCTGGTTCTGTGGTGGGTTTGGGTCTTAGTATTTGTTGTTTGACAACCCTGACTCTGTCCTGCCTCCAGCCTTGATGTGAGTTTTTGGAGTACTCCTTGTATTTAGAAATACCTGAAGTACTAGAGAGTCTGTGGAAATATGCAGACTAACTTCTACATTAAAAGACAAGTTAAAAGATGACTTGAAAAGTTCTAGGGTTACTCCCTTTTGGAATTTGGTTCTATAATATTCATTCAGTTAAATTTCTATTTGTATTACAGATGGACTGATCAAAACTGTGACAACTTTGTTGCTACTGTTATTTGGTTTTAGTATTTATAGTCTTTACGCTCCATTTGTGACAAGTAGGCATGCAAGCAGCCTGACTGGAAGTGTTGCAAAAGACAACAAAGCCAAATATTCAAGGAGCTTCCTCATACAGTTTTCAGACCAAGGAGTTTTGAAGAAGGCCAGCGACAGGCTGGGAAGTTTCTTTCATAAAATGATTTCTCTTTAAAGGAAAATGTTCTATAGAAAAAACTAATTTCTGCAGGTATTTTTTGAGTTTATATATCAGGAAATCTAAGCCCAAATTGTTTAGTTGACCTGAATAAAAGATCTCAATTTGTTCAACGGGCCAGAAACAGTTTGAGCTAGTTGAATATTCTTTGTTTTGTTGGGGTGGTGGTCCTAGGGATTTGCTGTTCTCATAACATTTCCATTCTATCCTGTGGAGCAGATTGATATTTGATTATTGGGTATATAATAGAGATTGATCTCCTCTGGAAGCAAAACCTGTGGTTCAGTATGGGAGTTCTGTGACGTCTTATGGAAACATTATCCCTGCAGAGTGCACAGGAAAGGAGCAAATGTAGGTATTCTTAGGTCAGGTGGAAAAAAGAAATAGCATGCCAAGAAACCATTTTTCAGGAGTGTCTGTAGGAGTATCTTTACGATCAGCTGAATTATTATTGAGAGGAAAAAAAATAGCAATTTTCCTTCTTTCCACTACTATCACCTTTTGTTTTATCTTGTCTAAGCTCTGTTTTTCTTTTTTATCAGTCATGTTGAATGCTGGTAAGATTCTTCTTCATCCAACCTCAGGCATTCATTTTCAGGAAATTAGCTTGGCATCATAACAGCTCTTAACATCTGTGACTCTTGACTTGGAGATAGTTGACTAAAGGGGCTAGACAGAGTTTTAATTTATTGCCAAATAAATTATTGATATTTTTTTTTTAAACTAGGACTTAACAGTTTAGTTTTTTTCCTCCATTATATTAAATTTATTTGGGTATGAGAATAACATGAGGGAGAGACTGTGTTTTGTACTACAACATATTTCAGAGAACAGGCCAAACCAGAACATCCTCATATTTCAGAAAAGAAATGGTCTTTGCTACTATAAATTTTTTTTTTTTTTTCATTTCTAAACAGAGGCCGATAAACCTTTGCTGTGAAATTTGAAGTGGATGTAAGATGCTAAGAATATTTGCTGCAAAACAGCTGTGTTCTGCTTTACTCTCCTAGTTCCCTGTTCAGCATTAACTTCACCTGTGTTTACACCACAATAAAACCAGGAAAAAGCTACCAACAAAGCCTATTTTTACATAATAATGATACTGTGATGAAAATACTTTTGTTATCAGTGAAGATGCAAGACAGGCAATAAAGAGCATAATGTAACCCTGTGAGCTACACGTGGAAGATTGTAGGCTCAGTGAATCACTGTAACCAGCTGATTCTGTACCTAATTTTCCATTCCTAATATAATGTCTTATTGACACTTAATTTAGTTTCCACATACTATTACTGATCATCATTTCTTCTCCATCGTCTTTCAGATCTTTCTTGATTTTATTTAGGTTAATCTTCACAGGCAACTATGTCAAAGCCTTTCAATCTGGAAGAACTCTTCTGCTTTATAAGCTGCCTCTTTTTAAAATTTATTTGTTTTTCATAATCTTCTTTTTATTCCCCTCTTTTCTATTCAATCTTCTTCCTGCTATCACAATTTTCTAACCTAACTAGAAAGGCAAATACTGTAGCTACCCTTATAAAGTTGAGAATTTTTTCCACTGAGCTGGATCAGCTTTGGCTGGCAGTCACACTTAGACACAAACTGAATTTAGTTCTAGATTCTAAATTTCAGACGTTCTCCTTCCCAGAAACAAACTGAAAAAAACCCCAACCTTGAGTCTTGAAAATTCTGAATTTTTATATCTGAATCAGCATATTGAAGATGAAGCCCATTCTAGCTTTTTCACGCAAATTCCCACCACTTACCTGGTAGTATTGTATTGTTTCCTTTCTTACATTGTTTTAAAATAGTAATTAAAAAAGAGTTAGCTACATTTCTACTTGAAATGTTAATATAGCAGAATGTAAATCTGTATTTTTGGGTGGAAATTGTGTATAAGATTTTTTTAAATTATTATATAGTAAAATTGTTAAGCAACTGTCTTAAGAGTGAGTGTTCAGAGTTCAGAACTGAAGCATTAAATTACAACCTGATTTTTCAAAAGTGAAAACATTGACAATCACTACTGGAATCACAGAAAATGTAGATTTAAATACATATTTTTTTAGATTGTATATTTGAAATTTTCAGTCCAAATCTTCAAAGTATAAGAAGAAAGGTCCTATGCTATTGCTACAGTCCAAGGGCAAAGCAGTATTAAACTGGCATGCTTTGGTGTTCCTAAGACTTAGTAAATTAATATATAAGTATTTTACATATGAATCCTCTGCCTGTATTTCTTTAATAAAGTCAACAATACCTGTTTTGAAACTTCCCATTTATCAGTTTATGGAAATGGACAAATAGCCAGTGTTTAAAAAATTTCAAATGTAAGACTTCCTTCACTCTTTTTCAAATAATTTACATACTATTTCTTGTGCACTACAGGTGCTTTTTTTTTTTTTTCTAACTGCAAAATTTGTCATTTTAACCAACTGACTTTAAAATGTTCATATTTAAATCTCATGGTTTTTTGCTCTTCTGATATGGAAGATCAAAAAGTCAAAAGTACTAAAAAAAAGTTTTAAGGGCTGTACTTCCTACTATGTAGTTTTGCCTTAAGCTGGTGAAACAAGTCTGCTCCATGATTCATGTTTTAACTAATTGTAATCACAGATCCTTTTTGATTTCAAGACAGAGATATTAAAATTATTTCATTTGCAATTGCCACACTCCTCTCCATCTTCTCTCTCCAGGAAACCTTCCAACCATGAAAGCTTGTAGAACCCAACCTCAGCTGATGACAATCAGGAGAATTTTCCTGCAGGTGACCCACCTCTTCAAGAACCAGACTCCCAGGTTCTGTTCACAGATACCACCCTGGACTTGCTGCTGTTTCTACCAGTCAGGAGCATTGAAAGCCATGATCTAAAACCTACCAGGAATAGTGGTAATCCTACTCTTACATTCCCTCAGTTTTTGACTAGGATTTATAATTATACTGTACTGTGTATTCAGGATACTAAGGTGAATGAATGAAGAATTTGGCTGCTTCTGATCTTTCTTAAAACAATCTGATTTTGGAAGTCTTCAGTTAAATGAATTATCCTGACATGTCTTTCCGTTTTCTAAATAGGAAGACTTTGTTGGTTAATCTCCACTTGGAAACATGGTTGGGGTTTTTTGTTTTGTTTCTAGTAGAACAAAAGGCAACAAAGATGGTGAGGGGTCTGGAGCACAAGTCTCATGAGGAGAGGCTGAGGGAGCTGGGGTTATTCAGCCTGGAGAAGAGGAGGCTGAGGGGAGACCTTATTGCTCTCTACAACTCCCTGAAAGGAGGGTGTAGAGAGGTGGGGGTCGGTCTCTTCTCCCAAGTCACAGGTGACAGGACGAGAGGAAATGGCCTCAATTTATACCAGGGGAGGTTCAGGCTGGATATTAGGAAAAATTTTTTCACGGAAATGGTTATCAGGCATTGGAATGGGCTGCCCAGGGAGGTGGTTGAGGCACCATCCCTGGAGGTGTTCAAAAGACAGGTTGATGTAGTGCTGGGAGGTCTGGTTTAGTGATGGTGATGCTTCTTGTTTGTTGTGCGGGTGTCTGTTTTTGTCAAAATTAGGTTGACGGTTGGACAAGATGATCTTTGAGGTCCCTTCCAACCTAGAAGATTCTGTGATTCTGTGAACAGTGGCTTGTGGAAAAATCAAAACTTTATGGAGGAAAATTGTGATGTCAAAGCACCAGAAAACATCCCTTGGTAAGAGGAAATATTTCAACCTGGGTCAGTTAACTTATATAAACTGAGTTGGAGGATATTTGCTGCCTTGTCTTCAAAACTTTTTACCTGGGTTCTTAAGTGAAGTATTTGCCTTGTTGTTTGGTTTAGTCACATTGTACAAAGTTGTTAGTCCTTATGCCTCACTGATCACTGACAACAGCAGTGCAGACACAGTGTCACAGATACCTGTGAGGGGTAGGAGTCCTCAGAGGCACCCATCGTGCCCCATGGCATGCCTGTTCTGCTGTCCCATTCTTGGTTGCTTTGCATGACCCCGCTAGAGTATAGCTGAAGATGTCATCCCACCCCAGGGGAAGCTGGTGAGAGGGACCCGCAGGAACTTCTGCAGTCCTTGGTTTGTCCTGTTTTGCTTCCGTGGAGGAAGAACCTTAACCTTTGGTTTAGGTTTTTGTATGTATTGTTCTGTTTAATTGCCAGAAATAAATGAGAAATTGGCATTTTCACCCTTTTTGCTACTTTCTCTCCTGATAACGCTTGAGATGTATTTAATTTCTCGCCTAAGAACAATTCATCTTGTCTCCTTTTTAACCGGTTAGCAGGTAATAAATGTTTATTATCTGCGATAATTGGCAGTCCTACAGTGATCAGCACAGTATAAAAGCCAAGATTGAAAAGAACGCCTGTTTGTAAGCAAGCAGACTAGGGATTTAGAATTTTCCCTTTTCAGCTTTAAGAAAATCTTGTAACGTGTGTGGGCCATCCTTTTACGTCAATTTCACGCAGACTATTCTCTCTTTTTCTATATCAATCCTAAATTAATACAGTAGGTGCTCCGCAGCCAGCATGGTTTTGCATTGATCTTGGCCAGCTTGTTTACAGTGTTTTGGCAAGTTGCTGATGTACTTCTCCCTGGGGATAGAGCAGGGGTTAATTGCTGTTAAACTCTCAGTGCCAAGTAATGGTTCAGACTCTGTGCTACATTAAAGATGACACTAATAAGGAAAGAGTGCACTGGATTGCTCTGTGTTGAAAATTGGACTTGTGGTGACAGAAACTTGGAGCAGAGCTGATGTAATAGGGAGGCCATAATGTAATTATAACTGCTGAACATGTGTCATACCAAGTTAAATGATACATTAATGAATCAAAACAGGTGATGGAGTGTTGCTCTTTCAGCAGATAGAGGTGTTTTCAAGGTCAGATTGCCATTAATTTAATAATCTATAAACTGGATATTCTTCAAATTATAACTTTAATGGTTTGGGGGGGATATTTTTTAGTGTATTTCTTGTCCTGTACCAAAGGGATGAAAAAAACAGAAGATGTTATTCTCAGTATAATTTTGTTTATCCCTCTTTTATTATATCTCTATTATACCTAATACAATCTATGTGTGCCTAACATTTTTCAGCCAGGTGTGAGCTCTGTTTCCCTGTGCTCCGAGCAGGCTGAGCACAAGCCAAGAGGAGTGTAGACATATTAGTATAGCATTGAGCTGAGCTAATGGGCTTTGCTGAGAGACAGAATACATTACACTGAATATAGTCAGCAAATGGCTTCAGGTCAGCTGGAACCATGGACAAAACAAGCTCACACCCACCCAGAGCAGAAGTAAGTGTGTAGTAATATTGCGAGCTATATTATGTATAAATGCTCTTTGCCTATTAGGAGTCTGCAGCAAATGAAAAAACATCTCTTACCTCAACTGGTTCCTTGTTTAACTCCAGTGTCATGGGTGAAGTTTCTGCTTTTAATTCTGGCAGGGCCTCTATGTTCAGGAGTGAAATAAAGGCTTCTGTTCCAGATCAGATGACAGCCCAGGATACCACCATATGAATGATACTTGACTGCCTGAACGTGACAGTACCTTCCTACCTTTCCAGCAAATTCTGGGCACTTAAAGAAACCCATATATTTACAAGTAGCCTTGGTTGAGAAGTTAAAACAGGGCCCCATGGTACAAAGAATATAGCCATTTTTGAAGGAAAATATTCCCTTCTTGAATGTTGCAGTTCTCCTATTACTGCCATGTCTAAAAAATTCTGTTTATGTCACATTTGTCTTGCATTCCATAAGCTTCTCTTTTATCCTGTTAAAAAAATGAGGCAAAGATGTTTTTAAAAGGGTCTAGCTGAGTCCAGTGCTGAGACTCTATTAAAAAAATGGGACTTTAATGCCTAAATCAAATTGAATCTTTTGAAAATATCACGATAAGGTCATGTTTTGACTTTATTTTTTAATTCTTAATATTTTTTTTAATTGGCTAATAAATATTTAAAAGTTGAATTCTATAACAGATTCCTTGCTTATGTATCTTATGTATCTTTTCCTTTCTTTTTTCTTAATTTTTTGGGGGGTTAAGTTCCTTGTGTTTGGGAAAACCTTGGATTTTACGTAATTTTCCTTCAGATGCCATACTATTTAAGGGAGGCAGTTTTTTCCTATTGGGAAAGTAAAATAACAGTAACACTACAAGCCCTTACAGGTCTCAGAATATGTGCTAGAAAACAGGTCTGTGCCAGCTCCATTCATTAACATGTCCTGTCTCCCAGTGCTGTTTTTTGGCAGAGTATCTCCTGGAGGTCGGACACCTCCCGGGCATGAGTTTGTGAGGAACACCTGAGGTAGGAGGAACTGTTCACATATCTCAGTCCTTCCTGTTCCTCATCCTCTTGTCTGCTTCTCTTCCTCTCTGTATTTTGATGAAACAGATGATAAGCTGTGCAGCTCAGTGACTTCCTTCTATGGCCACCCTGCAGGATGAACAGAAGGGCAGTAGCACTTGCCTTCTAGCAGATTATTTCTGATTTGTTGTTTCCAAGTACCTTTGCAAGAGAAATTGTTCTTCTTTCCACAAAGTTCAAATTTGGCCTAAGAGTCATTTGCATTTAGGGATTACTGAAATAAAAGACTTCCCTTTCAGAAGGTGTTGGGGAAGTCAAAATTTCCTGAAGGGAAACATCCACAGAGCAGATATTACCACTGGGGAAAAAAACAGCATTCTCTGTGTCATTTGGCATTCCTGGCCATTCACTTCTGGTGGGGAGAAGTAAAGAAAATATTGTTTCCATGGCATGTATTATAAGCTGTCTGCCTTCATGGTCAGGTTACCATTTTTGGTAGATGGAATCCCTAAACTTCTTTTTTCCCCTGAAGATTTTATTTCAAGCCACGTCCACCTTAGTGAAAAGTGAACATTGCTTATTGTGCTGGGACCATGCATTAAAAAGCTGTGGCATACGGTCTGCCAACACCACATCTACTCTAGTCACTCTTACTATAAAGGCTTGACACCCCAGCACTTTCTTGTTTGGCTGGTCAGTTAACCAGATCTAAGAATCATGGATATTTATTATGGTTGCCAATCTAAGACTGAATTTCACCTTTGAGAGTCATAGGAAATTTCATTGCCCGTTTTATTTATCGCAGTGTAAGATTGGAAAAGAATGGCTAAGCACTATAATGCTTAAAATGACATTCTCAAGGAAAATTTGTTACCTTACAAGGGATAAATTATCTAGAACATTTCATTAAGAAGGCTTTTTGCAATACCCAGAAGTTGTACAATACCCAGAAGTTTGGGGGAACTCATTGACTCTCCAAGATGTAAACTGCTGCTTTTTAGTGGGGGAAAATAAAATGATACTTTACCATGAAGCAGATCATATCAAAAATGTTATGTTGTCAACATTGAAATGTTCTGTGGGAATATATAGCAGATTTGTACAGATATCATGGGGAAAAAAGCATTTTAGTTTTGGAATGGACCATTGAAACTTTTGGATTTGAAGCAATGTTTTGTGTCAAGATGTATTAGATTTTGGATTGTTAACCATCATCTATGATTTAAAAAGTCAAGATTAGATTAAAGGATTTTAATTTTATAGAAGCAGAGCATAACCCTAACACAAAATTAATTTCCCTCATAAATTTTTACTTAAGTGGAATAAAATAAATGAAGAAACGCTCTTGTTCTGACTGTATAATATGAAGAGGAATGTGAACCAGAGTTGGAACACGTGGGGTCCCTTCCAGCAGATGCTGAAAGCTTACCTTAAGAAATCTCCCATTCTTGGTGCTCCCTGAGACAAATACTTTGATACCCTTTCTGAAATTGCATGAGATTCATGATTGCATGAGTGATTGCCTGAGATTCATCAGTCTCTTGCTCACCAGTATCTTGCTATTGA